AGTTACTGTTTACAGTGGTAGATCGATTTTGAAGAGTAAAACAAAAACTTTCCATACAAGAAGATTATCGTGTTCATGTCCTATAGTAGTGGAATAAATACATGGAAAAATCCCCAGTATGACCGCAATATACACCATTGAATTCTCGTCGTCCAGCCGCCCCATATACATTTTGCATCTCCATACCATCAAGTCTTGAGTATCTGAAAACCCGAAAAAACGGGTTTGAGTCACTGCTCCAATCGATGCTAGTGTTCGTTGGTCTACTCCTGTTATGACAGACAAAACAAAGAGGGAAAACTTGTATCAGGATTTATGGTGTTAACGCAGACATTTGATTGCTCGGTTACTACACGTACCTTGGAAGGGTCTGTTGACACACAGCTCGAGATATTGTCTGCTGGTGCGTTGGATAGCCTTGCTTCTGATTTTTCATTCGAATAGCTAGCGAAGAGAAGTGAATTAAGGTTGAGTTAGACATTTCCGATAAGCCAAAACATATGAAAACTTTGTTAAATACAGACAGAGGGGAAATGCAGAGAGGTTAGAGACTCCATTTTGTAATAAAATCTGTTTTTGAATTTTTATTTTCTAAATTAAAATATATTTCATTCACTAAACCTGACAAGTTAGTAAACCATCGAGAAAACAATGAATCCTATCTTCTTCTTTTTCTTTTGAAATACATTGAATCCTAACTTCTTTATACCTTAAAACTCCATCAAACACAAACAAGAGACAACATGAAACAAGAAAGAAAGAGGATTAAAGAAGGAAACAAACAGCAAGAAAAGATCAAACATCGAACGGGAGCAATTGGAATTAGAAACAACCAAACAGCACTAAAAGCAGTCTCAGAAACAGGCCACTCTGTCACTTTCTTTCACCAAAAAAAAAAAGAAAAAAAAACTCTGGCCAAGGAGAAACAATGGGGACCAAGGAGAGTCATTGAACAAGGAAGGTAATGTTTCTCTGTCATAGAAAGACGACAAAAAGATGATACGCGGTCTGGCTGGCTTAACCAAATTAGGAGCTTAGATTCCTTCAATCTCTACCACGAAAAAAGATTACTTCAATTTATACTTCAAATAAACCTGACAAACTGAGAATTTTAAATATTTGTAGGCAGTTTCGATGGTGACTTTTGATAATCAAGGACCACCTAAATGGATTCACCCATATGGCTAAATAACTCGAAACAATAACTTAGTCGGTAAGAAAATAGAGCAAATAGGTATATATGTAGGAAATCAGACAGAATGGCCCTTATTGCTTTGTTTTTGGTATCAATTGCGTGGAATATTTAACATAACAGAGTCACAGCTGAAATTGTTCCTGAAATATACAGTTGCTACTGATTAGTTTTGTCATAATCAGATACTTACGTTGAGAGTATTGTCACCCAAATGAGTTCCACACAGTCCACCCAGAGAAGTCTTTGTTCTACCGGGATCACACCATAAGTAATGAGATGAGCAAATGGCCAAAGCTTCCATCCTGCCTGTTATAAAAGCATACCAACAAATCACTGCATTAGCCAAAATTACAAATTGCATCAGCCTTGATGCCCACATAGAAAATCAAATTTGAACCAAAGTTGTAAACAAGTGTAAGCACAAACCGAAAAAGGAAAGAATATTCTCTTTCTCAAATTCAACATTCCATCTTCAACAACTTTTAAATAAATTATATAATAACTAGAAGTTGTGATCCTATTGGAATTTATTTTAATGATATTACCAAAGCATCCAACCTGATTAAGAATCCTCCCAGCCTAATTGACAAGAGGGAATAAGAAGGGCAATCATTTGGATTTACGGTTGAGAAATCAATTCTAAACACCTAGGTAAGAAGTTCAAGTTACATTAATGCTAAGTTCAAAAAATGTCAAGAAATATAGTGAAATTCATTTGCAAATCCACACTTTAGTTTAACTAGAATATTGTGTAAATTATACAATGATGCCAAAAAAATTGACTTCTTGTGAATTGAATTATGTAATTCATTTCAGGTTACTTTTTTTATCATGTTACGAAGAACTTTCACAAATTTTTAATCGATCTGCATATAGATTTGTACATGAATTCTATAAAAATTTTAGATTCGATCAAAACATAGGCTAAAAAGGGTAAAATCTTCTTACCGTTAGCATGGGGAAAAATGTTGCCTTCAATTCGGTAAAAATACTAGTTGGGGATTCAAATCGCAAGAATCCCAGAACTGTATAATAAATGCTGTTCCATACAGCTGACCATGCAGTTTGGTCAAAGGCGACTTTGGCCGGAACCACCCACCAGTCATGGAAAGGGAAAAGTGCCTGCAAAGCAGAGGAGATAAATTTGTTAAATGATGAATGTAAAACATCAATCACAACAAATTCAATGAGGGAAGAAATGTAAATGATATTATCACCTCACAGAATTGGTAATAATAGTGAGAAAGGGAACCATGTAGGGTAAACCCCACGAGGCCTGATCTGAACATTCGAGCACGATCAAACTCAAAGAGAGGTTTGCCTTCATAGCACTGCAAATTTCAAAATCTCAACAAGGTAACATTATATATCAAGGTAAAAATATTTAATCCAAAGCTGATGTTCCTAAATATTTGTTTCCAGATATATCAGAAACTAACCTGTGCAATCCAATCCCCCACAGAATAGACAACTCCACTTATTACCATTTTAGCCAATACTGGGTTTGTCTTCAAAGCTTCCTCGTAAGCACTCCAGTTATGTTGAGGAGCATATCTTAGTATCTCAAAAAGGGTCCAACCCTGAGAGAAACCATAAACAGACGTTTAACTATTTAGTATAAAACAAGACAGTATGTACCTAAGCAAAATAGATTAATAAATAGCAGATTTTCTACAACGCTAATCAAAATCCGAAGTCTAATTCTAAAGAAAGCTTACGTTTTAATTTCAAGTCTTAAGCGAATATATTAAAATTCCAAAAAGAGAATCTCAATCATCGCCTCGTGCAACTATTGATCATTTCAGAGCACGAGATATATTTGACTCACATAAAACCTAATCCAAACCATGTATTTTCATTTTTATCTTAATCTTAAAATGCATGATTAAAAAAATGTATTGATTAAGTTACCAACATCAATGAAGCCAAAATAGAAAGTAGTGATAACTCATTAAAAGTGATAGTGGCAATAACTCAAACATCACCAAATTATATCCTACTTATATATATATCAAGACTAGCATGAGAATAATAATAATGAACTTATTAGATTATGCAATAACTGAACCAAACGAGACCTTGTTTTTCTAAGAATCAGCTAATTCCATCTTCTTCACTTTTGTCTTTTGGTAGATTGTGCTTGGTTCAATTCTTATTTTACTCCTTACAATTCCGAACTCTAATCTTTCTATCATTCTTCAATATGTAGAATTAGAATATGAACTGTATCTTTAATCTCGCTTCTCTACCACTTTGAATTATTTAGTATTGAGAATTCAATTTTCATGAACTACAGTGAAAATAAAATTCCCACATAAAAATAATCAATAACAATTAAAATTTAAAGAGAAATTAAGTAAAAATGAAATGGGATAGCACCAAAAGCAGATTATAAAAATGAAAATAAGATGTCTTGAGTGGAATCGTGAATGACGACGAGATGAATTAATAAAAGAGAGTGTATTCATTCGCAGAAGTTTTTCAGAGAAAAGCCAGAAATTATATATATACACATACATATACATAAATTTCTATACTTATAGTTACCTGCCAGTAATCATGATCAATGGTAAGCAACTTGGTGATGGCAAAAGTACCGGCGGCTAGAACGATAGTCGCATTGATGGTCCGATCAATTACCTTCTCCATTTCCTCATTCTCTTTGCTCATCTCTCCTGCTCCACCAATTGAGGAAGATGAAGCAGAAGAAAACCCTTCAAACGATAACATCCCCTCATTCGGCGCCACAGCAAACCCCCCAACCTGACTCGCCAGCTCGTTCCCTTCCCTCTCAACCGGACTCACCACAACCCCTTCTTGTTGGTCCGTCGAATCCCCACTCTGCACCGGGATTACGTCCAACTCGTCCTCCACCATTGAGTTCACCGCCCAGTCGCCCTTTGCTCTCTGTTTGTTTCTCGAGAAAATATGGCGGTGTTTCTGAGCCTGAAAAGAGGAATTGGCGAAGGGTTTTAACATCGATTTCCTGGGTTTTGAAAGAGAGAGAAGGTTTCGCGGAGAGATGGTTGTATTAAGAGAAGCCATTGCTGAGCTCGGGAGGAACTGAGTCGAGTCCGATTGACTCGATCGTCAATCAAAGACTTTACTATCTTAACAGTTCGTTTCTCCGAGTTCGAAGCATCGATAGCAAAGGCATAATATTATATGAAACGGAGTCCGTGGGTATTATCCGGTACATCGAGGTCTATAGTTTCATACTAATTTTCTTTGATCAACGGCTGTCATTTGTTTGACTTTGTAAACACACAGTAGACTTGATAATGATTGGTTCACGAATGTGAAGCTTTAGGGTACTTGTTAGCAGGGGATTTTTTTCCGTAGACGGGGGTGCCTGTGGATGATATCAGACAATGAAGAGGAATCCTGTCCACACAAGCGAGTGCGGCTGCTACAATATTCTACTATAAATCTAATATTTTAGCCTTCCACGTGGCATTTACTATTATTTAATAATTAATATTTTTATATTTAATAATTTTATTTTAAAAATAAAATTTATTATTTTATTAACGTTAACAAGTGACTGATTTATAATACTTAATTAAACGAATATAAAAATTTAACTCATTAATGTATTTATGAGTTTGCGATAACTAAATTGTAAAGGATAGTAAGAAGGGATTGGTGGGTTCCGAAGCCGCTATTCCGACCACACGTAGTGGGTCAATGGGCCCATGAGCGGCCCCACACCACATTTATCAAAAATCTCTTATTGTCTCCTTCACCAATCCATTCGGTTCTATCTAATTTTTTTGAGGTCAATAATAAACCATTCATTTTTTTTCAATGATACGACTGAATTCACATTTTGGGTATTTATTTATTTTATATTTTTCGTTTTCTTGGTAGGCAGCAAGATTCATACTATGCCTAAAACAAATTATTAATTGTGGCTCATAAATTAAGTGGGATTATTATTTTCTCTCATGGGAAGAAATGCAAAATATATTTGTAAATTTACTATTATTTTAATTAAATAATGTATCAATTGTATTCAAGGACTAAAAATTGAATATATATATATATATGTATATGAAATTCTATGTGAGTATTCTAAATTTCATCAATTTTGATGTCCTTAGAACATTTTGTTCCAATTATTATTATTTTTTTTAATTTCATATGCACTTAATTTTATTACATTATATAAGTTTTAATTAGAAATAAGCAAGAGTTGTATCATCTTTTGAATTAAAAATAAATATAAATTTTTAAATAAATTTTTTAAATTCGTTCTATACATATCCTATTAATATTAATAAAAATTATATAACTTCTAAGTTTCTTACAATGTCACTTTCAAAAATCATATATGAAGTAGGTTTTATTTTATAAAGTTTATTATTATCTAAAAAGTTTAAGTAGTCAATATAAATTTATAAAATTCTACGAGACTATGTTAGAAATAAACCTAAAAATTATATAAAATCTACTTATAAATTTATAATTATCTTAATTAAGAAAATACATAAATTCATATTAAAGAAATTTTTAATTAAAAAATGAATAAAAATTGCTAATGAATTCTATAAAAATTTTAAAATTGTTCTATCCAGAGCCTAGTAATATTTTAAAATTTATATAACTTATAAGTTCATATAATTTCATTTTCAAAAAGTTCATATGAGGTAAACTTTATTCTATGAAGTTTATGAACTGTCCAAAAAGTTTTGTGCTAACCTAACAATAGTCCAAGATATATATATATATATATATATATACACATATAAATTATAATAAATATTAGATATATGGGTATAAGTATTCCTTTAGAGCCAACATGGTCTATATATGTACGACAGACTAGGGTATTTTTGTAAACTTTTTGACTTAGTAATTCAAATAAAAGATCATTGAATATAATTATGTTTGAAGAATTGTTTAGACCTTAGCATCTCAGTGGAGCTACGATGACCAAATTTACTCAAACTACAACAATTATAGCCTAAACAATTACACACTAGTTATGCACGCAGAACATAACCACAATGGTAACCTGTATGCATGTGGGTGTATATATATCACGACATCAAGTTAAGAAGTTTATGATCTTAGTAGTCTGAAAATATATCAAAGAATTACAGAATTATATCCTGTTAAGTCTTTGTTGCAATCAACCCCAACAAAAATAGAGAGAAAAAAAAAAGGAAAGTTTACATTACCTTATTAGACAAATCCTTGCTCTTAAATAATTTTCGGTAGACCATGGACATAACTTCAACCAGTTGAGGCGAGTTCGGCAACTGAATATAAGCTCAAAACAAATCCGACCCTGCACTGCCATTGCAAGCTAAACTGAGTTAATAGGCATTTAGAATTGCTTATTTGCTGATTATAAGCTGCTCTGTACATTTTACTTTGCTTTACACAGGGTGCTTATTCTGTGCCAAAGCAGAAAAGGAAAAAAGCACGCATATCAAAACTTTTTTCTATTGAGTTAGAATGCTCATTCTCTAAACATCCCTTACTTAGTCTGATATTTTTGTTTTTTTAATTAAAAACTACAATATATACTTGCTTTTTGAAATAAGCATTTTTGCACAAAAACAGATAGCTGCTAGTTTTCTTAAATTAAGCGTGAGGTGCTTCGAGTTGTAAAATTTAAAAAAATTTCACTTGGTGAATACTATCTTTGTTGGCAACAAGTATTTATACAAGAGAGAGAGTCCATCTTGAGGTGCAACTTTGTACATGTGATAGTTAAGTATTTGCAGTAAGAACAAACTATATATAATCAGAAGTAACTTAAAACTCTTAATGGTTTAAATACATTTATTTCAATAATCTCAAACATACTCTTATCCATGCATCTCCAGCTTGAAAATGGTTATCGATAGTTATGTCTAAAACATACTAGGATTAAACAAAAACAAAGATTTATACCTTATTTGGCAAGAAAATAGAGAAGATCAGCTCTCATTTGGCAATACAAGGCGATCGCGACCTTCCACTAGCTTTGCTGATCTAATTACATCTCCTGTTTTCATCTGTGCCAGAATTTCTCTTCCAGCAGTTGTGTATCTGTAGATAGTAATATAAAGCAAAATCCATTGCATATCCATACAAGTATCTATCAGATAATCACTTCTGGAAAACATGCCAGCTTAAAACCATACCCGAAAACTGAAAATTGCCCTTCATCAAAAGATAACCCTCCTAAGCCAGCCTGCAAAACAGATGAATCACACATATCATATTTGACTCATCTAATAATGAAGGACTAAGAAAAGAAAACTAGAGGTGTCATTTCAAGATGGAAAATTCATGAGATGACAGATGAAAAAATACATTCATTGAGGAAAATTAATTTACATGAAAGCAACACATATTTTGGCTATTATTTTGGAAAATGATTGTGAAATATAGTATTAAGTCTAGATAGAAAGAAAAGAAGTTTTTAAACTCCGATCACATTTTACAACCATTCTCCAACCCTTGTTTTCATTTTTTACCAACTATTGCACGTGTTTATGTACATGCATGAATTTATAAAATAACAGAACATTTTTGTAACACTAAACATAGCCTAATACTCTAATCACCGAGACTAAAAAGAAAGTTGAGATTCCAGGCATGATCAAAACAGAAAACTCTTATATTTAGTTTGATTCAAATTCTAGTTTCACATAAAAGGATGTAAGTACTATTGGAAAATATTTATTAAATAGGAAAGTGTCTTTGTTTAATCAAGGTAAAGAGCATACTAGTAAAATACTCGTATATCTAATTAATTGTATGTTTTCTTTTATTACCCTAAAAATGTATATATATATATAGAGTTCTCTAATTCAATAATAAACATAATATTCAACTATTCCACATAGTATCAAACCTTTAGGAAAAAGTCCTACGCCTCTTTCACAAACTCTAATCGACTTTCACTACTGAAATAAGACCAAAAAACTTTAAGGAGGCTAGTCTTCATTGTCAGTCAAACAACTTAACTGTCAGCCACCATAAATCTAACATCACCATCCCTGCCAGCCTTCATAGCCGGCAACCAGCAAGCATCAACAACACCAGCCGTTGCTCCTTGCGGTGCAAGTCACCTAGCTGCTACTCCTGCAGCCACCAACCATCTCACTGCACACCTCCTTGTCCGGCCAGCCAGCCGCAAGCCAGCTACCAAACATGTTGCGCCAAAGCCCAAATAGATGCACATCTATCCTACATCTCCTCTATCCAATGGTTCCTTTGTCCAGCCATGGTTCCATCTAGCCGTAGGCGTTGCCCCCCTTTATGTTATGCACCACCACTACTTGTCCTTGCCCAGCCCCACCACAACAATTGTCCAGCCAGTAAATTCCTTTCTTTGTCCTATTATGCCGGCCTTTATTACCCTAAAATTTTAAGATCATGCCGAATGTTATATTGCAAGGTATATGTTACTTGGCTCATTCACGTATATTTTCTATCCTCCATGGTTTAAATGCCTCATATAAGCCTTTAGTATTATCATGAATTATAGACTCAAGAGTCATAAATCACATGATTAAGTCCGTTCAATTTTTTAACACCTATGCTGTGTTCTAGCACTAAGAAAATCATTAATGCTGATGATTCACTAATTATAGTGGTAGGAATTAGAACCATAAAGCTTAGATTTCCCTTCACACCTGCTGATATATTACATATCCCTAAATTTTGGACCAATATAACATCAGTAACTAAGTTGTTCCAAGACACAATCATATAGTGATTTTTTCTCTCTCTTTGTGAATTTCAGGACCATAACTCAAAAGGACAACTGGATGTGTTGAGGCTCAAAACAGGGTATACTTCCTCGATGCACCTAAGAGACCAAGGATTGCCCTTTTCACTAGCACCCTTGATAAGATATGACTATCACAGAAGGTTAAGTCACCCCTCATTCTCCATCCTTAGTTATGTTTCCCTCTTTGTTTTCGGATTCCAATAATAAAAATTTACATTATGATATATGTGAATTGACAAAATATAAACGTGTACCTTTTACTCATAGTAATAAAAGAAACAATTATTCTTTTCATTTGGTTCACAATGATACTTCGGACCCTTCAAATGTTCCTAATATTTTCGAAGTTCAATGATTTGTTTCTT